AGATTTATGCAATTTATTTTTCAATCCCAATAAACAGTAGCCTATATATGCAAAAAGGAATTGCAAATTAAGTTTCATGGAAGCCCAGAGGGACATGAAGGCATTTCAGCAGCCCCAATTCAAAATATTGTCTTCATAACAGAAGAGTTATAAATGTTGCCACTACAACTTTAACTTCTGACTCAACAGATAGTGATATTGCCCAACATACAATTTAAAAGTCTATACATAATGATTTTTAATTTACATGAGTAGAATTGTATTTTAATCAAGCCTGCAGTAAAATGTTCAAACTAACAGCCATTCATCTTCCCACTTTCTGAGGGAAATACTAAGCATTGCCCAGCACTTCTATTAGCTCTGCTGAGAAAATAAGTTAAAGGTCTTCTAACAACTGAGACTTTGACCAAAACAGAATTTCTGTTAATTTTATATCCTTATCAGGTTAGTTAGTCACAAGGTTCCAGATTCATTGCTGAGGATCATAATTAACTATTTGTCCCACTCAAATCAGCTTTGGGAGATGCCTGGAAATCTAAAATGTTACAGACACAGACACTGCAACCTGCTTGGCCTAAAAGTAAAAAAGACCCCTGCCACATACAGTTACTCCAAAAGAGTAGTTCAGATATACAAAAGTAGCTCAGCAGGGAAGGCAAATAAAATTAAGCTATCAAATGGGGAATTATCTTATTAAAAGATCCCTAATTTCCATTAAGCAAAGTCATTTGGCAGAACACTCTCCTGATACCAGTGCTACAATTTTAAAGTACAAATTGCTACTTCAAAGTGTTCCTGCCCTGTCTTCCACACCTAAAAGGCAGCTGCAATGCTACTTACATTTCCTTGAGGTACTTCTGTCCATACACAATTTTATTTGCTAGCTCTTGCACCTTTTCTGGTGCCAGGTCATTGGTGACTGACTGCTGGAAGATGTCATGAAGGATTGTCCCAACGAGCATTTGGGGCGAGCCTGGTTCAGAGCCCTGCAACAGAAGGGAAGTCACCACAGCTGAAGGTCTGTGCCCATCTCATGCCAACTCCTCTGGCAATTCCTGCATTTGCTCTGCTGCACATCACAGCCTGCACTCACTTAGCTACAAGATCACGACAGCTTTCACCTCACTAGTGATTATCTGGTCAAACCTGCCTGAACTGAAGGGGTCTCACCTATTGTTCTGTCCCAATCTCTATGTGATTGGCAGGCAAGAAACAAAAGCACAGATTGAAATAAAACTGTCAGAAAGTTCTGCCTGCAGGCATTTCCCAGTGCAAATACATTCCTTTACAACCTTACACAGATTTCTGGCATGAAGCAGTTTCCTGCCTCATACCAGCTCACAGAAAATATCCCATGTGTCACCAAGAAGGCTCAGAAGCCATGAGCAGGGCTGGGCTCTGGAGACTCACAAGAACTGAAGTGGTAGTGAATGACCTTGACAGGAGGCACTACCAAACAGCTGGGAACATAAACACTGTGGTAATATGGATCTCTCACAGATTGCTCTCACAACAGGGGCATGGTGCTATCTCACTCAGGCCCCTGTGCATTGTCCCAGCAATTATTTTATCCCCCTTACTCCTCTAATAAAGGGTTGAAAACCATTTCGTGGTATTAATCTCCTGTACTTCATTTTCTTGTTCCAGTCACAGGTTCCCAGCCAGGCTGTTCACCACTCCATTAAAATTCCCTTATTAATTTGGATTTATATTCCTATCATGTCTGGAAGTTTTCATCAGCTGAGACAGGCAGCTGTTGCTGCTCTATTTATCAGCAAGGACACTACCACAAATATCTCTCATATATCAGCAAGGATAATACCACTTCTCCTCTTTCCAAGATCCAGCAGCTGGATTCAGACTCCACAGTTAGCCCACACCAATTATTAACTGAATTAGCCACATTTTTCACAAGCTGTTAACTTGGCCAAGTGTGGTTATATTTTCATATGGATGGCAGGAGGCATATCCCTCACAAAGGATTCATATCCACACAAAATGCAGCAAGAGATTATTAAAAAAATTATCAGAATTATAAGTGGAAAGACCATTTATTTAGCCCAGTGGCTGCATTATTTCAGGTGCAATTCTCAAACAAACAAGAGAAGCTCAAGCAGAGAGTTTCCACCCCAAATGATTCTGTGTTGTAACCATCATGAATTGCTAATAATGCCATTTCCAAGAGGCAGATTTGTCACTGAGCTAAGGCAGCAGGGGAGCAGGAGCTGGCAGGCAGTGTGGAAGGAGCACTCACCCTGAAGCGTTCGCTCAGCACTGCCCTCCTCATGCAGCGGATGCTGCTGGAGATGGCGGTGCCCGAGAGCAGCAGGTCTGGGTATAGCACCAGGTACCCACTCTGGGCACCAACCACCCACGTGCCACAGCTGCACTCCCCTTCCAAGTGAACAATGTCCCCTGGAACCACCGGGACAGACTCCCTGCAAGGGAACACACCCCATAGTCAGTGCTTGCGAATGACAGACACAGTGTATCAGAAATAACACACCAACAGAGCAGATTCAACCTTCTTTCTGGGCTGGATTCTTTTGAGGAGTTGACCTAAAGAAATCCTGAGAGTGAATAAAGGCATTTTTACAATGACAAAACTGCAAGGTAGCAGCGCCCACTCAGCACACATTACCTGAGATCAGGTCCCTCAAGATAATACCCATTATGCTAGCACACTGATAATATTACATTGAACAAAGATTCCTTCAGGATCCCCTATCTCTTTCAAGGCCGTAAAATTCAACTCACAGACAACACAAACAAAATCCAGTATTTCATTCTATTTCAAACATCTGTGTGGATTACCAGCCATTCCTAAGGATGCACAGCTCTGTGTTTTCCAGTGAGGGGGAGGCTGTAATTGTCAGGTGCTTCTCAGGGTCACTTCCATTCCTCTGGATCACGCTGACCTCCAGCACACGGTATCTGTTGTTCAGCCCATTCCTCAGGATCGCATCAGCCGAGTCAGCCGCTTTCTTCTGAAAACTGAAATTACAAACAGCTAATGACAAAGAATACTGCGCTGCTTGAAAACAGCAGACCTACATGCAAAAAGGGGGAAGCTTCAAATATAAACCAAATTTTAGTCCCCTTCAATTTTTATAAGTTTTTTTAATTTTTTTTTTAGTTCTATACGGGCAGAGTGTAGGAAATCTCTATAAATATAAGCAACTTGCTATTTATTACAGTTAGTGCTTCATTTTTGTGTCCACATATCCATAAGCAGTAGTAAACTAATTATAACTGTACTGCAAACCCTGTGCTTGGGAGAAAGTTTGTATCTCCCTGCAGGCACGAACTCCCGCAGCCACACAAACACCTCGAACACGGAGCAGTAAACTTTTTACCCATTACCTGAAGCTGATTAGAAAACTGGTATTCAAAGTTCAGTTTCCCAGCGCTTCCCAGCCCGAGGAAA